TAAGGATAAGGATAAGGATAAGGATAAGGATAAGGATAAGGATAAGGATAAGGATAAGGATAAGGATAAGGATAAGGATAAGGATAAGGATAAGGATAAGGATAAGAAGAGGGATAAGGATAAGGATCAATTTTGAGTCATGGAAAGGTGAACTCCTTTTTTTGAATTGTACTTAATTTAAGAGTTTGGTTTGGATTCTAGATAATTATTTGGTTTGGTTTGATTATTTTCCTGATCAGCTGATAGATTGGTGGATTCTCCGGAGTGACTTGGTAGAGAGGAGCAGGACTGATCAAGAGGAGAGATCTCAGAACTAGTGTTACTCTCAGATCTAAAAATAGTTGTCAAAAAAGAAACTTTCATTTCTTTTGAAATAAGTGAATTAGCTGGCCCAAAATATGTTGTATAATTGATTTTTAGTATAACATCAAATATTTCGAAAAAGTTAAAAAAAACAAAAATACATTATTTATGAAAACTAAAAATATTTGATTTAGCATTTACAAATCTGTTTAAACCGAGCAGTTTTATGAATTCTTTGATGGATAGATATTCATTCAAAATACAAATATTCCATTAGAAGAAATAACAAATATAAGAAAATCAAACAAAAAGTTAAACATATATGTCCAGTTTACTCCGCCCTAACAATTAAACTACAACGTATTTTCGTCTGAAAACGCGTTTAAAAAACGAAGAAAAAGTTTTTAAAAATGCGAAAGAACGAAACCATGGGTCAGAAATATTTCTTTACTTATCATAGTGTAAATATAAGTATAACCAGAGCTGGGAACTTTAGAATGGGATACCTTTAATCCCGACTGCTTAATCCGAATATCCAATGTGGACACTTTTAATTTCTTGCTTAAATCCACTCTTTTTTGATAATCTATTTGATGGACATATTTAAATCCACAAAAATATCATTGATTTACTTATTTGTGTTGTGGTTAAGGCCGGTACGTAAACCGTATGCATGTTCATTGTACGTACATTGTACACTGTCATACATGTACACTGTCGTACGTGTATACTGTACGGATACAGATTCTTAAGTTTTTTTTGCAGAAACCAGTCCCGTGTTTACAGTGTGTCAATGGTGTTTTTAATATTGATAAACCTTTTTATCATTTTTATGATATGTTTGCACCTGTAGCTCTATATCTGTGGATAAATGGAGAAGGTCAATGGAAATTTAAGTAAACTTTTATTATTTATCATTATCATATTTTTGGGAAAGAACTTAAGTCTTTGAACTAGATTCTGATTTTCTAATTCCTATATTTTTGCAACCCCCATATTACCTATGAATGATTTTTAAAAATATGAATTATGTTAAATCAAATAAATGTGAGATTGTGACTAAGACTCAATTCATTTGTCCCGGATTTTGATTAAATGACACGATGAAGCGTCTGTTATCTCTCCAAATATTTACCTCCCCCCCCCCTCCTCCCCCTCCTTTCATGAACCATTAAGTTATTAAGTTATTGAAACAATTCTATATTTGGAAAACTGGAAAATTTAAGGTTGACAATGACATATAATTGCTCACGTTGCCTAGTTCAACAATCAATGTTTGTTTGAATGGAGTGGATGTTTGTTTGTGTTTGTATGTGTTTGTATGTTTATAGGTAGTCTGAGCTAATTCTAAACTTGTATACTCCGTGAGTGTATGGTACCCTATACGCCCCATATTGTCCTATCTTTATCATCTTAATCTATCCAACATTCATTTAGATTTATACAACTTCCTTCCGTATCAGCTGTGTAGCGTGTAGCCATAACCATTCCATCCAAGAGACATAATTCATAAATCCAAATATATAAGAAGCTACAGTACATACTTTTAATAACATGCTTTTTGTTATATAGCCATATACTTTTAATCCAAACATGTAAATGTAGCCATATCCATTTAATGTAATTATGTTATGTATTTATATTTATTCAATCCAATCATGTTCATGGAGCCATATCCACTTAATCCAATCATGGTCATGGAGCCATATCCACTTAATCCAATCATGTTCATGGAGCCATATCCACTTAATCCAATCATGGTTATGGAGCCATATCCACTTAATCCAATCATGGTCATGAAGCCATATCCACTTAATCCAATCATGGTCATGGAGCCATATCCACTTAATCCAATCATGGTCATGAAGCCATATCCACTTAATCCAGTCATGGTCATGAAGCCATATCCACTTAATCCAATCATGGTCATGGAGCCATATCCACTTAATCCAATCATGGTCATGAATTTCAAACTTTAACTATTTGATTTAACAGAATTCAAAGTTTGACATATCAAGGTATTTAACATTGGGTTGCATAGATATTTTGGGATTAAAAAATCTGAGTTTGTGGCAATTTTTTAAAAATCTATTTTTTTAAGGCATAATTAATCAAAACTCAATCCAAATTCTTCAATTAAAAACGCCAATTTAATGTTTATATGCTTTATTTGCCCCGCCCTAGTTGTATTAGTCCCTCCCCTGTTTTACGAGCCCAAACAATATCTTTAGATACACTTTTTTCTTCACTTCATATCCCATCACCCACTTTTAGACACTCGGATACAAATCTTATCCTAGTGTAGAGTGTAGAGTGTAGAGTGTGAAGTGTAGAGTGTAGAGTGTAGAGTGTAGAGTGTAGAGTGTAGAGTGTAGAGTATAGAGTGTGAAGTGTAGAATGTAGAGTGTTGAGTGTAGAGTGTAGAGTGTAAAGTTTAGAGTGTAGAGTGTAGAGTGTAGAGTGTAGAGTGTAGAGTGTAGAGTGTAGAGTGTAGAGTGTAGAGTGTAGAGTGTAGAGTGTAGAGTGTAGAGTGTAGAGTGTAGAGTGTAGAGTGTGAAGTGTAGACAATATTACCCTTTTGAACCGTTTTTACGAATTCATTTCTGCTTTAATCTATGTTTTGTCTGGTGGAGTAAAACTGTTTTTTCAACTGTATTATTTACCATGTTTTGTGCCCATATTGGTTCAATATTTGCAGATCGTAAATTTGTGTGTAGGTTTTATTACATATTATTCTTTTAATTTTTTTTCTGTTTTTAAACAAGGATTGCATCATAAACTGACCATTACTTAACGCGCGACAAGGAAGATAAACCAGGAACCCCCATATTATATTAGACAAGGAAGATAAACCAGGAACCCTCATATTTTATTAGACAAGGAAGATAAACCAGGAACCCTCGTATTTTATTAGACAAGGAAGATAAACCAGGAAACCCCATATTTTATTACAAAAATGTTTCTCGAGAGAAAAAGGAACACCCTAATATTTTTGGGAGTGAGGGTTCTTAAAGTTTATCTCCCTTGGTTAGCACCATGCCTTTCATTAATTAAAATAAATATCTCAGATTTTCATTTTGACATTAGTTGGATTAATTAGTTATTTTTAGAGATAGTGTAGGTACGTGGTTTCGATTCCGGCGCGAACGAAGATACCTCTTAAAATGCATAAGAAAACTTTTTGAGCGAAATCAAAAGCTCTGATCTTTTGTTTAATTGAAAATATATACCTGAGAATTTAACTAAGGTTTCTTGATAATAACTGTATACCTGAGAACTGAACTTGATCCTGTATCTGTCCCGCTGCCGGAGTAGGAAGATTTCGAAGGAACACTTGATGCTGGAGAAGAGTCCAGGGAGTACTGCATATCGGAGATAGAACTAGGTCGAACCCTGAAATATAAAAGCTAGTTTTTAAAAAAAAACATAAAAAGTGGACACATTTTTGGTTCACACTAGACAATGAAATTATTTAAGTTAAATACAAAATGATACAATTTACATAAAAAGAAATAACGTGATGTTTTCAGCTCAATAGTATTCATCTTTTGCTATGTTTATGTTCATTGACGGGGGTATAGTAAGGTCCAAAGGAAGTAAAGTATAATATTTAATGCTTGGCACTAGAAACATGAAGCTAGAGTTTGTAATGCTTTGATTTGAATTAAGTTCAATACTACCCTACTTAAGTTTGGAAACTGAACTTATGATAAGTCTCAGACCCATATACTCCGGGCTCATGGTTGCGCACTTTAGGATAAGTATGCACGCTTCCCATTCTTCAACAACCAACACTAACTCCAACCTTCTCTAAACTTTTTAAGATCAAAGTTAGGAGTTTGGGCGGCTCTATCAAACTTAAATTTAGTTTTAAAAAATCTAATCTAATTTCTTTTTTTAATTTACCTTTTCGTTTAATTGAGTTTCTAATTTCTAACTTTAAGTCTCCTTAATATGCGTAATTTCCATAGACCAGATTTAATGAAATCAATAAGTAGCTGAAGCACGCAAACGTATTTCAACCACTACTCTTGTGTGACGGTTTAAGCTAAAGAGAAGTTGCTGAACCACGTCTATACGGTTCAACCATGTGTACTTTTATTAAATCTGATTCCGGCCGAAATCAATATATGTAGGATTAATCTTTTGGGACTCAATGGTAATTGTTTATTTAATCAAGGTTGTAACTTGTCTCATTAAATTTGACCGCCAAAAAATTGGTTAATTATTCAAACTAAGTAAAATGATATTAAGTTTGTGACCCTGTTGAGCAATTCAATTCATTGCAACATGTCAAATTTGTGAAATTGTTTTTTTTTATTTCGTGATTTTTGCAGTTCTAAATTGTCATGACAAATTACCCATGTTTCCCAACTCCTGACTCCTTGTGCAGGAAACCAGATTAGGGAAAACGTTTTCTGTTCAAAAAGGGACTGTACAGTATACACGTTATACTGTTCAAAAAGGGACTGTACAGTATACACGTTATACTGTTCAAAAAGGGACTGTACAGTATACACGTTATTCGTGAAGACCCTTTATTTAAAGAGCGCCATTAATAATCAGCAGCAATTTTTTTTGCTTTGAAACCCCTGGTCCCTTTCAGGTTCTTAAGATACTTTTACGGAACCAACAAATGAGAAAATGCCAATTATGATCCCATGCAACCCAGACAGAAAGAATAAAATGTTTAAGGGTAATGTTTTAAAACTTTCAATGCATTCTTTATCAAAAGTCACTTAAGATTTGCAAACAATCCCTTTAATATATACAACATTTATTACTATGGCCCTGAAATGTTTTCAGATCTTAACCCTAAACAGGCTGTAGTTTTTTTTTGTCCTAGCACTCTCAGTTTTGACACTATCACCGTGACTTTTTATGAATTGTAATTTAAAGGATTTTTTTGGGGTAGGGTACAGGGCGGAAAAAAGTCCGGTCAGTGAAAAAAAAAATCTAAAACAGCCCATAACTTTTTTGTGACTAAAGCTACAGATCTAAAAACTATATTTTTGAAAATCCCTTGAAAAATGCATTTAGATCGTAAAAACATGTGTGACACTTTGATATTTGTTTTTAAAAAAAAATTTCATTTTTTTCCACCCTCCCTAGCACCTAAACTATTAAAGTTATCTGTCTAATTTTATTTTCTTTAAGCTGGCCATGAAAAATTGGGCTATGAACATGCCTTTCAACCCTTACACCTATTCTCTAAGGCCTTTTTCTAGGGGGAGGAGGGCGCCAAACGCCCTCCCCAGGCTATCCATAGATTCAGACCCCTCAGCCTTTTTAGGGTTAACTCAATAAAAATAGTTTTAAACAAAAGAATTGCTGAGTTTTAAAGTTGTTAAACCCAACATGTGTTTAGTGCAAGTACTTATGCTTTCAGGTGAGAAGATATATCATCCAAACTACACGCATATAATTCATTTACCTTGAAATCTGTATAATTAATAATACCAAAATAGGATTGAACTCTATGATGGGACGGAGACCCATAAATGAAATATGAATCTTGTATGTATGGTAGAATATCAGATGGGATTCAAAAGAAAGAACGCGGCCTTTTCTGATTTAATTTTCCTTAACTTTTGGTTCTTAAATTGAAAGTTAATAATTACATTTGATTCAATTAACACTTCTTAGAGACAATATGTGGCGTGTTTTTGGCAATTCAATTAAGCTAATCTTTTGCGTGGCGATTTTTTAGACCTAGTCGCCTCCTTGGACACATAAGTCAACTCCTATACTATACTTTACTTGGACACTTGACAATGATTAGTCGACTCCTATACTATACTCTCCTTGGAAACTTGACTAATGATTAGCCGACTCCTATACTATAATACTCTCCTTGAACACATGACTAGTCATTAGTCGACTCCTATACTATTCTTTACTTTGACACTTGACAAAGATTAGTCAACTCCTATACTATACTTTACTTGGACACATGACTGGTGATTAGCCGACTCCTTACTTTACACTCCTTGGAGGATTAGATAGCGTGTTACAGGCAACGAATAATTTTAATTAAACCTGAGACCTGATCTAATTACAAGGGGAGTGCGATGGGGCCGGGGGGGGGGGGGCTACGTGAAAAATGGGGTTTATTAATGTTTAAAAATAGATACTAGAAAAATTCTTATTCCTGATAAAATTCGAACATTTTACAAAAATAAACATTTTATTATAAGAAAAAGCAATTACCTCTTTGTCATAAACTCTGATTTTCTAATCCCTTTAACTTTACAGCCCAATGTCGTATCGAGGTTAGATATTTCAATACCATGTGTTAGATCAAACACCTGAGTTTGAAATATCATAGATTTATCATCAGGTTTCAAAGATATAGGGAGTATAAAGTTTGAGATTTTGACAAAGAATCAATTCCTTAAAAGAACTAACCTTTGCCTGTTGAATCTTGAATCTCTCATAAAATTCTTATTAGTGGGAGTAGAGTTGTCTGCGAAGAGTTGGGAGCCCTGAGAAGAACCAGGTTGGCTGAACCCTGCTCCGGTACCCCCCGGAGTAGGGACAGCTTGAAGGAATTGAGCCGGAGCATAATACTGAAACATAAAAACTTAGAAATCTCTTTCATGTTAAAAAAAGACCAGAGAGAAGGGATTGAAATGTGCGAATAAATAAACAAATCCTCGAAATGTGATGGAAAATGTTTCATGTTCAAGATCCAATCTAAACATGACGGATTTCAAAAACAATTTCATCAGAACTTTCAAATTTAAAAACTTTCAGATTTAAATCTGGACAGAGGTTTCGTCCAAGAATGTAAAGGTTAGAATGAGATTTTAGAAAAGTATAATTATTAAAGGGACTGTCCGCAGATTTCCATTTACGATTTTAAATATATCCTTTAAATATAATTTTTAATAACGGGGACAAAATTAACACTTTTCTCTTCACTTTCCATGAATCATCTTTATTAAAAAAATAAAGAAAAGCGTTCAGCTGTAAATTGTTGATGATACACTTTACACGAATGTGTGTCTTTATATGAAGCCTTTTACTTTTAAATACCGGATAGCATACGCCGGATATGAAGATATTTTGGACACTTGAGTAAAATAAAAATCTATCTGTGTTTATATGTTATAAACTCATCACACAGACACTTACATTTCACGAACCCACATATTTAATACATAATATGATTAAAATGAATAATTTAACTCAAATTTCCTATTCTCAGAGCTTCATGCTTTTGGGCTTTACAGCAAGAAGTAAAATAATGATGATTAAATATTTTCCGGTTTCTGTTTCCTTTAATTTTTCGAAAGAATCCAGGTAAAATCCCTTCATTCCGACCTTGACAAGGAGAAAGGAGTTAAACATTTTATGGCAAATAATTTGCCCTATGGGTTATTATGCTTAAATAACCAAATCATAAAATATCTTTTATTTCATATCTCTTAAACCTAATTACCCCAGGCTAATTACACTTATTAAGATAACCGAGGAAGGATGGATTTTGTCATCATTCTTATATAATTATCTTAATCAGTTTAATCTTATGTACTTAAACGAGATACGCTGTACATGCGTTTATAATTTGGTTGAGAAATTGCATAAACATGACTTAAATCCTTCTAATAAAAACTAAACAAAATGCTTAGAGATAAATCTGAATATGATCATAAACCAACATGAAAATAATAATTTCGACAATAAGAAGCCCCTAACGAAGTCTAATAATGTTTCAAAAGTACCCTAACCCAATCTAATCATGTTACTTAAAGGACTCTAATCTAGTCTAATATTGTCCCTAAGGAACCGTAACCCAATCTAATTATGTCAATTCAAATATAAGATTTGATTAGTCTAATAATGTCCTTAAACTACCCTAAACTAATTTAATAATGTCATTAATAATAATGTCTCTGATAGTTCCCTAACTAAGTATGAATAAGTCCCAAAGATGACCCTAGACCTGTCCCTAAGATGACTCTAACCCTGTCCCCTGATCTGACCTGTAGACTATCTGGTTGATGATATGAGTGTCTATACCAGAAAGGTGTTCTATTAGTTGGTGGTCCCGGCATACCTAGCAAATAACATTATATTAGAAATAAAATCGTTAGGATAGATTTAGAATAGTTGTAAAACTAGGTACAGATAGTTAAAATACGTGTTTAGTGTGCACTATATAAGCTATAGTTGTAATTTATGCTATTTCTTGTAGATTTTAATATTGTTTACATGCATGAATTCAATTACATTTTGTCTTTGAAATCTAAAATAATAATAATGAATCACAATTCGGCCAATGACTTGGTCGATTTACTAAGGTCAGTTGGTTTTCATTTATACTTTGATCAAAAGTGAAATCTAACATTTTAAGACTTTTGGCAACCCCTGTATCAATGGAACTGACATGGCATACTCTTAAATATACAAACAGGAAGTGTTTATTTCTTAACAATTTCCTCTTTTCTTCTTAATATTTCTTAATGTCTGCCTATTTTATTTTGAAATAGTGTTCTATGTTTGTCTGCGTCGTTGTATGTCTGTCTGATCGCTGTATTTTTCCATCTTTTTTCATTAAAAAATATAGTTTTTTTTAGTTTTCAAGCAACTTTGTTTCCAAAACGTTAAAGAGTTAATTCCAACGCAGATTGGTAACTTCGTCATGTTTTTTAATCCCAAGAATGAATTGAATTGTACAAAAAAAGCACATTTAAGTTAAACATTTTGCGTTGCAACGAAAGACTAGTGGATGATCAAGCAAAAGAATATCATGATTTTAATCAGTTCTTTAACGTATATGCCTAATTGGACACGTAAACATAAAAAAAAGAATTAATTGATTCTAAATTTGTGATTTTCTTTAATACAGTTGACAATTCTATAAAAAACACACAAGCAAATAAACTCTGTCTTTAAACATTAAAAAAAATCTTGTAATTATCAAATCTTTCATTCATTCCCTTTAAAACATTATACTAAGTATATGACTGGGTGTTAAAGAATGAGCCTCCCTCCCTCCCTGAAGCGGTGTAACTACACCCTTATATTAGGTATTTTCAGTAACCACACAATCCATTCAAATATACATAATGACCGATTCTACGCAGTTCACTTACGCCATATTGGTTTTCACATTACACGTGCTTAAAACTCAAGTTTAGTTACACACATATTGGAAAACGAAAAATAGGTTTCCACAATAAAGCAGACATTATTAAACCCTCCCCTATACACCTTGTACCCATATGGCCCCTATCTTCATAAACCTTGTACCAATGTGGGCGTGGCCCCTATCCCCAAAAACCCTGTGTCAATTTGGCCCATATTCCCTAAACACCCTGTATCAATGTGGCCCCCATCCCCAAAAATCCTGTACCAATGTGGGCCCTATCTTCAGTAAACTTGTACAAATGTGGCCCCTATCACAAATAAAACCTTGTACCAATGTGGCCCCTATCACAAATAAAACCTAGTACCAATGTGGCCCCTATCACAAATAAAACCTAGTACCAATGTGGCCCCTATCACAAATAAAACCTTGTACCAATGTGGCCCCTATCACAAATAAAACCTTGTACCAATGTGGCCCTATCACAATTAAAACCTTGTACCAACGTGGCCCCTATCACAAATAAAACCTTGTACAAATTTGGCCCCTATCACAAGAAACATTTTACCAATGAAACTTTGCACTAATGTGACCCCTATCCCCATAAAGCCTTTACCAATGTGATCCCTATCTCCAAAAACCCTATACCAATGTGGACCCTATCCCCAAAAAACCTTGTACCAATGTGGCCCCTTTCACAAATAAAACCTTGTACCAATGTGGCCCCTATCACAAATAAAACCTTGTACAAATGTGGCCCATTTCACAAGAAACATTTTACCAATGAAACGTGGCACCAATGTGCCTTATACTTATTTTCTCCCTAATAATTGACGTTATCTAATCAAAGAAAACTAAACACATATGTGCTTCTTATACTTCTAATTAACCTTCATTAATATTAAAGTTTTGATTATTTTAACATTTGGTATTTTCATTAATAAATCAGCTGGGACTGGGGTAAAATTAGATTTTATCAATTTATTTGGATTGCTGCAAGGTTAATCATTTTAAACGAACAGAAATCAGAACTTTTGTGTCAAGCACTGATCTGAGTGATCTCCATCTCCATCTTACATTTAAAAAAAAAGCGTGAAATATCTCCAAAATTGAAGTTATTTTGAGAAGAAAGGAATCGAGTTCTTGCCACAAACTCAAATTTTATAATCCATACATCTTTGCCACCTGATGGTTTAAATCTTTGTCATTTCAAACTTAGACCATGATCTAAAAGAATTCATAGTTTGAAATATCAAGGGGTTGCAGAGATAAAGGGATTAGAAAATTTGAATTTGAGGCAAAAAATTCAGTTCCTATTCTCAGATTTGTCCAGTTTTATTGTAGAATTTTCAAAAAAAAATAAAATAAACTCTGACCCATTTATAGCTTAGTAAAAACAAAAAATCACCCCCCCCCTCCACTTTAAAATGAACATGAATCCCAACCAAAGGCAAAAAACAAAGAGGGGGGCTTAGCTAGAGGCGTATCCATAGGGGTATTTTGGGGCTCAGCCCCCTCCGGATATATAAAATCATTATTTATTTATTTATTTATTTATCTAGAAAAATCTATGGTATCTAGGGGGGTTTCAGGCCCTAATGGTTGCTGAGGCCCTTCTGGACAAATTCCTGCATTCGTCCCTAGGCTCAGCCCTGTCCCCTGAACAGTAAAACATGTGGTAACCCCTGGAAGGAATTTTTTCAAACTCCCCTTGCAGAAACTTCTATAAGCGCCCCTGATCCCACCCAACTTGATTTTGTTCTGGAACTATAAATAACCTTCGTTCTAATAACAGTCTTTAATTAAATATTTCACTATATCATTTATTTAAAGTTAATCATTTATTAATTAAGTTGAACTAATTTATCAAAATAAGCGGCTAAAAAGGAATTTATCAAAATAAGCGGCTAAACAGGAATTTATCAAAATAAGCGGCTAAACAGGAATTTAACAAAGTACTTGCACGCCATCAGCAGCGCTTAAAAAGTACATGTGACAGCCATTTTGGACATTTTCCTTGATTTTTATTTATACTAGAAATTCAAGGCGCTTCGCGCCCTTCTTTCTCGCCTTAGAGGGCGCTTCGCGCCCATCTTCTAAATTAGTTGTGAACATGTTCTCTTTGTGTACATCGTAAAACAAAACAAAATTAATTCGCGGATTTTTACAAAAAATTTCGCGGATTTTCAAAATTTTTAAAAATGACGATCGAATTTTGATAGAGACAAATATTTGAAATTTTGATTTTTCATAAACCTTCCCTGGGGTCCCTAGATGTCCCACAAAAAATTTGGGCCCGATCGGTTCAGCCGTTTTGACGTTTATTGGATACAAACAAACAAACAAACAGACAAACAAACAGACAGACAAGCCAAATTTATATATAGATAAAATATATATAAGTTGCTTGTCTGTCTGGGTGTAGCAGTTTGTTTGTATCCAATAAACGTCAAAACAAATAAACCGATCGGGCCCAAATTTTTTGTGGGACCTCACGTGACCCCAGGGAAGATTTTTGGATGTTTGAATTTTAAAAAATTTGCCTCTAACAAAATTTGATTTTTGGAAATTTTGAAAATCCACGAATTTTTTTTTAAAATCAACCAAATTTTTTTGTTTTTGTTTTACAATATACACATTACAAAGAGAAAATGTTCAAAATCGAAATAGAAGATGGTCGCGAAGCACCCTGATTTTTTATTTTTAGTAAAATCCGTCAAATATTGTAAAAACCCGCCAACAGAAAGGATGCATATTTAACATAACAATGATATCTTTTTGCAAATTTTAGCAATATCATTTGACTGAATAGGACAAATTAACAAATAAGAAAAATAAACAGGAAAACCTTGATATATCACTCTCTGCTAATTTGCAATCAACATTAAGAAAATTAAACGATTTAAAAAGACTTACTTGATAATTTGTCCTTAAGATTGTTTGAATTCTTGAAATTCTGGCAACTTATTCACACTTTCTTTTCCATTATGGAAAACAGCTGAATTTCATTTTAAATGTTGACTATAACTGTTATAGCTCCTTGGTTCCTTGTATCGTATCTCTGGACATATTGAACCAATCAGCAGATATTGAACCAGGATCTGAAAGATTAATATGTGTAAAAAATAGTAATTAATATTAAAAATATGACTTGTAAAATCAGAGCCTTTAATTAGTTGTTTTTACCCTATACTAGACACGGAGAAGTTAAAAGGAATTGAGTCTTTAATACAAATATAATCAACTAATCTCTATAAATTGGAAACCCATGATGTCATATAAACCTTTGAACTATCAATTCAGTTAGATCAAATAGTGGATGGTTGAAATACCAAAGGTTTACACCATCAGGTTGCAAAGGTTTACGGACTAGAAAATTCGAGTTTGTTACAAATACTCAATTCCTTTCTGTGACATTACTGATACGACTTTATGATCTCGTAGCGTCTCTACAGTTTTGATTATTTGGTTATATATTAGAAATTCAACACATTTTAATTCTTCTCAATAGCTCTTTAATAATTGAGGAGTTTTGTAATATTTCAATATAATGTGAAATTTACTTTTGTTTTCTGCATTTTCTTAAACAGATTAGAATTAAAATATTGTTTGACATTATTTTGTACATTCACATTTACATAAATGCAAGAAAATGTAATTGTTGCATCTTTTAAACATGAAATTAGTATTACGGAAAGCTTTATATAAATATAACGAAGTTTATAGAAAAAATAAGACAGACAGACAGACAGATAGAAAGAACGTTAGAAGGATAGATAGATAGATAGATAAATAGATAGATAGATAGATATATAGAAGGATAGATAGATAGATAGATAGGTAAATAAATAGTGATTAGAATATTAGATTTCAAAGAAGGTCATTACCGTAAAAAAACATTGTATTTGGAGGTGAGCTAATTAAATCCCTTTTTTAATGGATTTCATATAAAATTAAGAATTCCTCATATGGAATGTAAAGAGAAAAGTGGTTGAAATGGGTACGGCTAATTTAACTATTTCCCCTACCTACACAACCTTACTTGAACCGGTAGTTTAGTTAAACATATCTGGTTCAACTACCTCTATTAATAAATTTCAGTCTCTTAATACACTTTAAGAAACTAAGATTCGATACTAAATCAAAGTATTTTTGAATGAGTGAATGTGGGGGAGATGGGGGGGGAGGAGGGGAGGGGGGGAATTGGGGTTAAAAAGACCAACAATGGAATGTTCTAAATGGTTATAAGATGCAGAAATATTTCTTTCATTGGAATGAAAACTATTGTAATTAAAGGTTCTTTAAAATAAAAAAAACAGTATTTAAACATAAACAAAAAATGTTCACAACATCTATATATAAATTTGGCTTGTCTGTTTGTCTGTTTGTCTGTTTGTTTGTTTGTTTGTATCCAATAAACGTCAAAACGGCTGAACCGATCGGGCCCAAATTTTTTGTGGGACATCTAGGGACCCCAGGGAAGGTTTATGAAAAATCAAAATTTCAAATATTTGTCTCTATCAAAATTCGATCGTCATTAAATTTTTAAAAATTTTGAAAATCCGCGAAATTTTTTTTGTAAAAATCCGCGAATTATTTTTGTTTTGTTTTACGATGTACACAAAGAGAACATGTTCACAACTAATTTAGAAGATGGGCGCGAAGCGCCCTCTAAGGCTAGAAAGAAGGGCGCGAAGCGCCTTGAATTTCTAGTATATATAATTTAAACAATATCTATAATTCTACAGAAAGCAATGATTCAAATGAAATTCCAGGGAATAAAACAATGCTTAAAATTTTTTTTTAATTAAAGGGAGTGTTCGCAAAAAATGGATGGGGGTATAGGCTTACGACGAAAAATAAACTATTTTGATCGCTACTAATCTTACTTCTATCTGTTGTGTCTACAAGGAGAAAATTGTTAAAAACGGCTGAATGCTGAAGACTTTAGCGTCCATACAAATTCAGAGAGATGCAACATTCAACTCGGATCGTAAAATAATCAATTCAATTTCAAACAATTAATTCGTCATTGATTATTTTTCGACGCATTCGTATAAAGTTAATATTTCATAATAGTTTTTATTCTGTTTTTTTAAATAATATTTTGCTGGCACTAGATTTTCGGACATTCCTGGAAAATACAACCTTTCATTTTCACGGACACTCCCTTTAAGATGACTTTAAAATACGACTTGTTAAACACTAATGCTTATTCAAATCTTACAAGATCTAAGGTTTCGTAAATAAGGTTTGATATCTCTGATTCTATTTCTCTATCCGTAACTGTGAACTGTGTAGGGTTGTGTATTCTCTCACCTATCTCCGGATACTATGGATACCTAGCTAGACATCTTTCCTATTTTCAAATCTTCCGGTAGAAATTAGCCGGCTCTCTGAACTAGGGGAGGAGAGGGGGAGCTCTCTCTAAACTAAGATCAATATTAATGAGAGGGGGGGGGGTGTTAAATAAAAGAGGGGGTGTGGGTATCAAATTAGTTGAAAAATATAAATGTATCAATTTTTCCATAATTATTAAAAGTACATAAACTACAAAGTACAAATCACCCCTTTTTATCAATTAATAACCCCCTGGACACCCCCTGGACACCGCCTTCCATCCTTTCCTCACACCTATTGCTCCCTAGCAGTAAAGTACCCTTGTTAAAGGAGGGAAAAAGAAATATTTAGAAATTATTAGATCCAGGGGTGAATATAATCAAAAAATCAATTTAGATGTTTTAAAGTATTAATAAGTATTTTTGAACCGTTTTCTTCCGCTCTTTCCTTCCCGTCCTATACTACCCAATACACCTTGTCATTTTCAGACCGTCTACCCCATCCACCTTGTCCTTTCCGGTCCGTCCTACCACACCTAGTTTCTTTTCGTGCTATCTCATCCGTCCTTTTTTGTCCTATACCCCGACTTTGTCAGTCCCTTTTCACAGACGAATATCTAAGGGGTACCGTTGTGAATCTGATAAGCAACTCTTAAGAAGGAGAGTCTTTTGCAATTACGCTATCAGTCCCTTTAACAGGGATAATTTTGTTCTGTCAATTTAGGTCAATATTTGTGTGACACCCTGTTCTCGTTTGCACAAGAGAATGACATATTCCTAATTATCATTCCTCTTCTTGCATTGAACCTGAACCCCGGCAAACTCCAGGATAAGAACGTTTATAAAACATATTCTATCATATCATCGCTTTCCAGGTTTTATCTCAACTTTTTCTCCGGGTATTTTCGGTCTTTTTTCGTTGTTTCAAGTCCCACCTGGAGCCTAAAATCAACAATTTAAAATCGATTACTCTTATATTTGCATAACCTAAATAGTAAATATTTTACGCCCCCCCC